TGCTCCTGGGGCTGGGGCTGCTCCTGGGGCTGCTCCTGGGGCTGCGTTGCCTCCCGAGCACGCGGAAGCAAACAAACAAACAAGTCTGGAGGAGGGCAACGATGAGACGAGCCTCAGCTGGTTTTTTCCCCCCCTCCTGAATGGCCCTCTTTCATCAGGATCCGTTAGGACAAGTGCTTTTTCAAGCCAGGATATCAAGGGGAAGACACAGTGTTCTGTAAAGCCATCCAGTTCCTGGGGAGCATCAACAGCCGCCACTTCTCTGCTCCGCACAGAATATACGGTCAACCTTTTCTTTTCCTTCTTCTTCTTTTTCTTCTCTTTTAAATGGCTTTAGGAGCAAAAGGATGTGAGTTTTACAGCTCGTTATGAATCTTTTGGAATTTACTGACTTCTGTCTGACTCTTGGGCCAGCACAATGCTTCTGCTGTTCAAAGGAAACCGGTCCAAATTAGTATGTATAAGCCACTCGTTTTTATGCTGCTAACAAATGCTGCTTAGCAGGGCATTTATCACTGCTGCTGAGGGTCAAAAGTTGGGGATGTTCTTTCGTGATGGGGTTTTTTTGTTCTTTAGGAGATTTCTTGAAAAGGCTGGAGTTGTAGTTGTTGGCTGGGACGGGAGGATTTAAGAGTTTATTATTTTAAGTTGGGTCGGAATATCGTGCCTTGCCTTTTTCTCACTTTTCTTTTGTTGAACTCTCTTTCAGAGCAGTTGTGGGCAAAGAGTGTTCCTAGAGCAGGGATGAGGGATGGTGCTGGGCAGTTTTGCCCTTTCAGTATGGTGTAAAACACAAGGTTTTGCAAAGAGGCACCCGGGTGAGTTCCCTCTGTACAGCACCGTGCTGCTCGTATGGAAACGGGAAGAAAAACCATGGAAATCAGGGAGTGCTGGGGGGGCACGGGCAGTCTGGGTCACAGCAAGCTCTGCCTGCTAAGCTGGGGTGCAATTCAAGCAGCAAACATTGCAATTAAAAAAGAAATCTTGCTCTCAACAGGTCCTTGGGCTTTGCTTTCTGGTTCATTCTCAGGCAGATGAACACACGGTGACAAAAAATTTTGCCCGGTGGGTTGTCCCTTTTCCTGCAGCCACTTTCTGCTCCTGCAGCCACTTTCTGCTCCTGCAGCACAACCTTCTCCTTTGCCTGCAGCTGGGAATATTCTGTGGTGTTGCCAAAGGTTTCCTGACTGCAGGAGAGGAGGACACGAGGAGAGGAGCTGTCGGAGAGGGAGTTTCCGATGCCTTTGGGGAAGGAGCTCTGCCTCTTCCAGGGTTTTACCCGCCGTGGAAATCCCAGGCAGTGCTTAATTAGGGATAAAAGAATATCCTTTGGGATATTTTTTCACTTTACCAAGGAATTCTTGGGACAGGAGTACTGTGAATTATTTCCTGGTGCGTTATCTAACCGGCCCCTTCCTCTTCGCTGGAAAATGAGATGAGTATGTGTGAAGGAATATCCTCTACACCCTGCTGCTGCCTCTGTGGAACTCAGGGCCTTTTTTAACACTTTCCTGCAAGGTCTGGGGTGTGAAGGAAACGAGGCTCTTCCTGGCTGCCTTGGGGGATGACCAGAACTCCCATGTGTGGGCTCCTTGCTGTGGCAGGGAGAGCAGAGCCTGGCGGGCACTGCAGATCCTGGGCGAGCTCAGCACGTCCCCTGGGGAGAGTGGTGAGTGCTGGGGTGCTGCACCAGTGCAAGTGGAGAAAACCTTGTTTCCATTAGCCTGCAGCTGCCCTGCTGGCATTTTCTTGATCTGATATGGGGTTGTGGAGCCTGGAATTTAGGTGAAAATTTCCCATCGCTTTTTAGAAGCAGCTGAAATCTCAAATTTAAGCCTCAGCCAGATTTTTCTGGGAATTTTGCACCTCGGCTGCAAAACGAGGGGAAGCTTCGTGTGGGAACCTTGGCTGTGCCCTCAGAGGAGGGAAAAGAACTTGCAGCAGGAGCTGGAAAGGTGTGAAATCCACTGTAGCATAAGTAACTCCTGTGTAGCACAGGCTCATCATGGAGCGTTTGTATTTTGGAGATGTCAGTAATGAATGATGATCTGTGTTTGGAAGTTGGGCTCTGTCACAGGGACTGTCTCTTGTGGTGGTTTGAGCTGTGTAGAAGTGTGGTGTAAGCAGTTACTGTGGCAACTGAAAGCTGGCTGAGATGAGGTTGATTTTCAGCTGTGTGGGAAACAGGACTTTGGGCTTGGGCTGGTGCTTGCTGGAACTACTGGTTTTACTCAGCCTGCCCTCCAGTTGGGTTCTGAGGCCTGTGTGTCGTTGGGCTCAGTGTGTTTGCACATCCCAGGCCCTGCCTTCACCTCTGAAGCCTTTTCCAGAAGGGCTGTATCTACCCAGAGCAGAGCAAAATCTTTGCTGCTGTGCTGGTTGTTGGCTCCCCTGAGGTTCCAGCACAGTTTCCTCTCTTGTGATGTGTGGGTTGCATCTGCCCTCCCTTCCTCTTTGAACCTACAGACAATTCATGGTCGTGTGTTCTTTGTTTTTTCCATTCCAAAGACATCTCTAGTACTGAAATGAGTAGGAACTGCCTGACTCGGAGCCTTGATCTTCAGTCATTTTACAGGCCTAAGCCTGTACAAAGTCTTACCCTCCACTAGTTTTAAGCTGCAGAGTTTGATAATCAAATGATAAAGTCATTTCCAGCCCACGACAGCTCAGGCAAGTATCTCCTGCCGTGGCCAAGCAATAAAACATTGGTGGGTAATGGCAGATGAGTAACCCTGGAGCCCAGTGGCAGGACCACACTTGGGGAACAGCTTCTCCTGGCAAAATCCTGTTGTGTTCCACCAAGGGGAAGCCCTTCCTTCTCTGGGCATACTGACCTGAGCATGTGTTCTGCTGATGTTTCCCTTCAGTTGACTTCTTCTGTCGTTTGTCTTCCAGCCTAAGCGAGAGCTTTTTCATGGTGAAAGGTGCTGCCCTTTTCCTACAACAAGGAAACAGCTCCCAGGGCCAGCGAAGCCTCCAGCATCCTCACAAGCATGCAGGTAGTGGATTAAATCCCCTCCTGAAATGATGGTTCCACCCTCGCTCTGCTGCTCACCCCATCCACACGGGTGGACAGGCTGATAGCCCGTGTGGGTGGGTGGATGACTCTTCTCATGGTCACAGTAGGCTTTGTACACCCTGCTGAAGAAAAGCAGGTTTTCAGCCCACTCCATTGGAATGGGAACATAGGATTGTTGTTTAAACTTTTGTCATTCTCTCAGAACTGTCACTGGAGCAGCACTCTGCAGACACAACGGGGTTCTTCAGGCAGGGGGAGCCTGCTGAGCCAGAAGCTCAGTGCTGAGCCTGTGTCCCTGTTCTCCACAGATAAAGAAACATCACTTGTGCTTCAGAGATTGGATCTTTGCCTTCCCCTTTGGCCCGTGGGGAGGAAATTTGGGTGGGCTGAGTCATGGGGCTCTAGCACCTCTTCTGTAGTTACCACAGTCCTGATCCAGCACAGCAGGGACCTTGCTCTCAGGGCTCTCCCAGCCTCCAGAACACCAAGCTTGAGATTTTTGGTGTCAATGCTGACAGCATGTGTTTTTTTTTGAAACCACTTGTTGCTGGGCTCATCAGATGTTGCTGGTGAGAGTGAGGAACGTTTTCATGTGCTTTGGGTCTCTGGATAGATGTATGTTTCTTAGCTCCTTATGTCCCCTTTCCTGCTTTCAGGAAAATCCCCTTTCCAGTTAACTCATCCCAATCTGGCCTGTAACAGTTGATCATGGTTTAAGAACAGACTGTCCTTCCTACAGACTCCTCCAGTGTGCCAGACTGGCAGGAAGAAATGGTGGGGAGCTGGTGAATGTCCCTCAGGGGTGATAAGCAAGTAGAGGGCTCAGGGAAGTGGATTCTACTTGCCCAGTGACTTTATGCACTCTGTTTGACAGTGCTGGAGTAAGTGATTCCTAAGTAAGAAGCCATCAGAGCATTTGGAGAGCAGGAGCATGTGGAAAGGCACAGTGTGGTACTGTGTGTCTGCTGCTCAGTAAACACTCCAAGCACAAAGAGGGTGTTTGAATGCCAAGCTTGGCTTTGGGTTTCTTTAATTGTCAGCAATTTCATATACCCAGCAAACATCCTACGGAAGGAATTTTATCTTGTGTGGAAAGTTATGAGTGCATTACTGAGCTATGAGATGTGAACTGCTTTTATTTTCTTGTAGATTCCTTGTGCCTTTCACTGGCTTTTGCCAAACAGAAATGTACTCACTGCTCTAGAGCCAAGGGACCTGTTGTGTGAGCAGCACTTTGAGGTAGAAGGGACCCAGCACCCAAGCCAGGCTGTGGTGCAGCCCTTCCTCCTCAGAAGCTGCTCGTGTTCAGACATACCCTCCATAAGGCCAGGGAGGTGGATCCCACAACTCTCTGGGTGTTTCACAAGTCAAAGTTTTTCTTTGCTCCTTTGTTCGGCAGGAAGAAATGGTGGGGAGCCCTCTTGATTTAATCAGAGTTGTTCCTCCTTCCTTTTCCTCCACTGTCCTCAGTGCCTGTATCTTTCTGTCTTCTCTGAGATGCTGTTACAGGAAGAGTTTCAGCATTTGTGCCAGTTCTAGGTGGGTTCAGTATATTTGGTAGCTTCAAAATACCACGAGGTTGAGTTCTCCCAAGGCCAGATAATGCTCACCCAAGAAGCTTGCTCCTGTTCCTATTCCCTGGGACAGCAAAGTCCATTGGCCTCCCTTAAATGGTATTTTTTTGACTTGGAAACATCCATTTTTATTAAAGGTCAAGACTTTGTCTGTTCTTAGTGCAGCAAGAGCCCCTTTCTGATTATTTCTCTGCTTTTTCTGCAGGTGATTTGCCCCAGCACCTCCAAGTGATGATCAACCTCCTTCGCTGTGAGGACAGGATCAAACTGGTAAGAAAAGATGTGTTCTCTGGCTCTCCTCAGAGGTTTGTGGAGAACATTGGCCATTCCTAGGTTTTAGAGTCAGCTTAACCACATGCTGGCTGCCAGCTCTCCCACATTTTCCTGTCCCCTTCTTTTGCCTTGGTCCTTCCATCCAGGTAAGGAGTTCAGTCAGGAAACTGGTCGGTCTGAAGTGTCTTTGTTTTCTTAGATTTAATTTGCCAATCAGCTGACAAACACTGGAACAGGAGAAAAGGCTGGAGCTTGCTGATGCTCGTGGGCACTAAGTCTTGAAATAGCATCCACGTGGGTCTGGTCTTTTCAAGAAATCTGCAGAGCTATAAAAGTCACTGCAGAAAAGTCTACAGCACTCATCCCCTCCAGCATGACTGACGTATTCCAGTGAAGGTGTGTGAGTGGGAGAGTCCTCTGAGCCTCCTTCTGTCCTCAGTTCAGCACACAACCAATATTTTTACCAACTTTCTAGTTGAACCTCTTTAAAACAAATCTTCAGGTGATATTTTGTAGTATTCCCCCCAGCTGGGGCAGGGAATCCAGGCTGATCTTCACCCTACCCAACGCCGAGTCGAACCGGCAACTAGCCTTGCTGGAAGGCAGAGTGTCTGTCCCTGTGTCTTCCATACTGCAGCTTTTGGGCCAAATGACACCTTGAAAAAAATCATTAGGCAGGAACAGAGGTGCTAATTCCCCAGGAGGTGGTTTGCAGAGCTTGGTGACCCTTTTGCAGGCGGTGCGTTTGGAAAGCGTGTGGACAGACCGCGTCCGGTACATGGTGGTTGTGTACAGCAGTGGAAGACAGGACACAGAGGAGAATATTCTGCTGGGTGTGGACTTCTCCAGCAAGGAAAGGTATGTCTGAGGCAGGCTCTGGAAAGCCTGTCAACACCAAACTGTCCCCCAGGTGGTCGATGTACATTTGTCTGCAAACTCTAACAAAAGAGAGGACTTGCGTTGAGTTTTCTGACTCATTCCGGGGACAAGAGGCTGATTTTTGTTCCCAAAATCTTGCAGTCTCCTTGGAATCTTGAGGCAGCTGTGGGCAAAGTGTGGTCGTTTGCTGTCTGCTCACTACAAACTGCTCTTGCAGACAGGTTTGCAAAACTGGAATTTATTCTGTCCACCAGACTTGAAGTCTGTTGATGGTGTGACGCGATGGAGCTGGTCTTGAGGGGAGGGGAATAGCTCAGCTGCCAAATAACATCAGAAAACAATCCTGCTAAAGCACCTCCAAAACCAACAAACAAATGTGTCAGTAATGAGCTGTTTCTTTTGTCTGACTGATAAGAGCACGTAATATTTTGAAAGGCAAATAAAACATTTTGTTATCGTGGCCCCTCTTGTGTTATTCCAGCTCTAGGTGAGTAAACCAAGGCAGAAAAGCTCTTGGCTCAGAGAGACAGGGCTGGTTTGGCAGAGCTTCCAGCCTGGTGTTTCTGTCCTCTGATGGTTCAGCAAGCTGCCTGTGCTGTGCTGGTGCAGCCAGTGTGACTTTTGGTTTCTTTTTGGGAAACCTTTGGGGTTGGTTCTGTCACTGTGTGTGGAAGGGGAGAGCTCTTGCACTGCAAAATCTGACACCACCTTCCAGTCGTTGACTTCTGGTGGTTTTTGATGCAAGACAAGAAGAAAGATGGGACATTGATGGCAGTTCCATTCTAACTCACATTAGCTGCCATTTCAGTTGCTGTTTCCCTTGAAATTGAAGATATTTGTTAATTAAGGCTCAGTCTCATTAATAAAGAAGCCCATTGGCATTAGCAGCTTGGCTGAGTGACTCCATGGCTCTGTGCTGGGGCTGATGTGTCACTGCTGAGCTGTAAGTGTTCAAACTGCTGACAGTTTGACTACTTGGGTGCTTTTGTGGCTTATTCCTTTTTACACATGTTTAATAAAAACCATTTTTTTTTCTCACAAAGCTCTGAAGTGCACATTGTCCACATGTGTGCTCAGACTGGCCTGTCGAGTCCTTTGATCTCCTGTAGAAAGCAGCTGAAGGCTTAAAAAAGAAAGGAAAAGACCAAAGCAAAACCTGAGTTTTGTGAGCTGCTGTATGCATCCCAATTTCCTTTAAAAATTTAGTATCTCAGAAGCTTAATTATTGACCCATTGGAAGTTACTGGTCCCCACTATAGAATGGTTTTCTTGCCAGATGGCATCTCTGAAATGAAAGTGCTCTTTTTGGGTAAGGTGAACTCATAAAATCTGGGGTTTGTGTTTCCTACCAGCCAGAGCAAGGATTTGGGAATGGAACAGCCCTTTGAGAGGCCCCTGGGGCTGCTTGGAGGGGGTGTGTGGCTGCTCTGCCACCTACCAGGGCTCACTTTCTGCCCTGCCTTAGCTGGATCTCCTCAGCCAGGTCACTGGTCTGCTGCTGTGTCCTGCCAGGGAACTGCCCTGTGCTGAGCCCACGAGCGTGGGAGAGCAGGGAGGGTGATGGGGCAAATACCCCAGTGCTTGCTGGCAGGCTCTGGAGGGGGAGAGAAGAGCTGGTCATCTTGATTCTTCCTTCTGTGATGTTTCCCCAGCCCTGTGGAGCCATCACCTTGCTAATACCAGAGCAGATTTTTAGACTTCAGCTGCCCATCTTCTGCGCTATGCATTTGGTGGCCTAAGGTATTAGTAGGATTTGCTAGAGCAAGACTTGAGGATTTTAAAAATTCAAGAGTATTAATAATTTAGGATATTGGCATGACTGTGTGCAGCCTATATTTAACATCCTGTGGAACCATCTCTTCCAGTAAAAGCTGCACCATAGGAATGGTTCTTCGTCTGTGGAGCGATACCAAAATCCATCTCGATGGCGACGGGTAAGAAACCCCAATAAAAGGCCAGATGCCAATGTCCTTCCCTGCTTGGGAGCTGCTTTAGGAGACATTCTCCATCCCCTTGCAAATGAAATTCCAATTTTGGATTCAGGGCTGCAGTCCTCTTGTTCAGACAGTGAGTTTTTGTCTTGCTGTTTGAGTCTTTGCTCAGACTGCTCCACGGAGCCTGTGATGCCCAGTGGGTGTTCTCTGAAATGCCACTCGAGGGGTGGAGCTCCTGCTCCTGGCAGCCTGTGCTGGGAGGGGTGTCTTTGCCATTCTTATTTGGGAGGGTGTTGGAAAATTGGTGATACAAACCCTCAGCCCTGAATGTTTTGGCTGTGGGTGCCCCATACCTGCCTCAGTGTGTAGGGTGCTGCTTGTGACACAGGGAAGAGCAGTGTCTGACTGATGGTTTTTTCTCTTTCTGTTAGTGGCTTCAGTGTGAGCACTGCAGGGAGGATGCACATCTTCAAGCCAGTGTCAGTGCAAGCCATGTGGTAAGTGTGTTTAATTACCTTCACTGAGAAAGAGATTAAAATAGATTAAAACCAAATAAACAACCTGCACTTCAGCATTCTCCGTAATTGGTGTTTTGGGAGATGCAGCAGAGATGCTGCTTCCTGGGGTCAGCAGGTAGCTGTGGGAATACTGATCTGAAACCAGGATCATAGAATTGGTTTGGTTGGAAGAGACCTTTAAGATCAAGTCCAACCATCCCCCAGCACTGCCAGGTCCCCACTGCCCCGTGTCCCTCACCCCACATCTCCACGGCTTGGAACCCCCTCGGGGACTCCACCACTGCCCTGGGCAGCCTGGCACAGCCCTGGGCAACCCTCCAGGGGAAGAAATTGTTCCTCAGCTCCAACCTCAACCTGCCCTGGAGCAACTTGAGGCTGTTTCCTCATCCTATCACTTGTCCCTTGGGAGCAGAGCCCGACCCCCCCCTGGCTCCAGGCTCCTGTCAGGAGCTGTGCAGAGCCAGAAGGTCTCCCCTGAGCCTCCTTTTCTGCAGGATCATAGAACAGAATCACTGAATCATTAATGTTGGAAATGATCTCTAAGATCATCAAGTCCAACCATCGACCCAACACTTAACCACGTCCCAAGTGCCACATCCACATGTTTTCTGAACACTTTGAGGGATGGTGACTCCACCACCTCCCTGGGCAGCCTGGGCAAATACCTCAAATCTTCTGCTTCTGTTCAGAGCAGCTGCATGCCCTTCAATATAAGGGAAATGGTACCAGTGAGATGCATAAATATGAAAGACCAACATGAATTTGTCAGGCTGCAAACCCCATCTCTTTTCTCACTGCATATTTTTCTGACTGGCTGAAGGAGGAGTCTGGGGACTTGCTGCCAATCTTGATGGCATTCCCCATGTTCTGCCTCATGACTGAGGCCAGGCTGGGGTTCCTGCTGCACAGAAACATTCCATGCTGCCCCGGGTGCCTGTTCACCTTTCAGCTCCTGTCACCCCTCCCATGTGCAGGGATTCCAAAACACTGAAGCAGAGGTGGCTGAATCAGCAGCAGTGGCTGTGCCAGCAGATTCCTCCATGAAGTGGCTGCTCCTCAGCCCTGCACAGAACAAATGCTGCAGCTCCTTGGGCCTGGGCAGTTTGCTGGCTGCTGTTGGGGCCTTGAGAGGTCCCTCTCCTTGTGGCATCTGGTAGGGAGAAGATAGAGATGTAGAGAAGGATGTTGTGATTTGATACAGAAACAAATGAAACTCTTGTTCCTGTCAGTTTTGAACTCAGCCCCTCCTGTTGGCAGCTTCAGATGTGGTTAATGTATTCAGTACAATGACATCTTCAGAGTAGAGCCTTAAAAAAAGAAAAAAGAAGAGGAGGGGGGAGCAGGAGGGAAGGAAAGAAGTAGTAATGCTAGAATTTGCAAAAACAAATGACCCAATCTGGGCCTTGTCCCTGGAGCATGTCAGGGGCCAAGAATGCTGGTAAATAGGCATTTGACTCCTTGCTGAAGGTGGCTTGAAAATTGTCCATGTTCTTTATTTTCCTTTGGTCTGGCTTTAGGAGTTAGCTAATGATTAGATCCCAGAGAGACTTGTGCCTTGTGCTTGCCTGTTAATCAGGAGAAGATTTCAGCCTCTGCCTTGGACTGGCTCTTGAGAAGGTCTCCAAGGTGCAGTTTGTACAAATAAATCTGCTGCTCTCAGAAACCAAACTGCAGCAAAACAATGCTGAAACTCTTCTTCCTCTGTGAAAATCCCCCAGATCTTGCTCTGGCTCTTGCTGCTGCTCACATCTGCCCACGTTTGTTCTCCAAACTTGCAGGTCTGCTTTACAGATCCTCCATAAAGCCTGTGAAGTGGCAAGAAGGTACAACTACTTCCCAGGGGGGATGGCTTTGGTCTGGGCCACGTACTACGAAAGCTGCATCAGCTCTGACCAGAGCTGCATCAACGAGTGGAATGCCATGCAGGATTTGGAGTCCACCCGCCCCGACTCCCCAGCTCTGTTTGTGGACAAGTCAGTTCTGAATTTTCTTAGAAGAAGTTGGCTTGGCTCAGGGAGAGAATTCTCCCCTGCTCCCTTTTCTTCCTCCGGTGGTTCATTTCCTTTCTTTTCGAGTCTTTGAATGGTTTTCTTTCATTATTCTCCTAAAAATGGGGTTTAATACAAGTCTTCACTACCTCTGCTCTGTACTGGATGAGCTGCACCACGTGTTTGCTGCCAGCTTGCAGACATCTTCTCCTTTTCCTTCTCAGGCCAACGGAGAGGGAGCGAACAGAACGGCTCATTAAAGCCAAGCTCCGGAGCATCATGATGAGCAAAGACCTGGAGAATGTGACTTCTAAGGAGGTAAATAGAAAAATTCCACCTCTCTTATCCTTCCTGCTAGCCTCTGTTTCCAGAGAGTGCTGCACTGATGAAGAGACACCAAATGACTTGGTGTCACTGGCTTTTGAGTGTGTGTTTCTAAGTTTTCCCTAAAGGCTCCACTCTTTGGCTTTGCTGGATGGGTTTCCTCAGGAAATCAGGAGAATACCAACATCAGGGTGTGTTTTTCAAGACCTTAGTAACAAGACTTCTAAGTGCATTGGTGAGGGATCTAGAGCCCAGGTCTGGTGAGGAGCAGCTGAGGGACCTGGGGTTGTTGAGCCTGGAGAAAAGGAGGTTGAGGGGAGACCTCACCCTCAACAAAATTCCTTGTCTCCAAAAGGTTGTCTCCTCTTGCTGTTTTTAGAGTAGTACAGAAAAAGCATCTTGCAAAGGAAGCCAGCAGATGTTTCCATTGAGCAGAGGTGATTCTAGGTGATGTGTCCTTTGTTTTCTGCTCTGCAGATACGAAATGAGCTGGAGAAGAACATGAATTGCAACTTGAAGGAATTCAAGGAGTTTATAGACAATGAGATGCTGCTTATCCTGGGCCAGATGGACAAACCATCTCTGATTTTTGATCATTTATATCTGGTAAGCTGCTGTGTCAGGAGCTCCAGGAGAGCAGGAGGCTTATGGGGGGGGTGAGATCTGACAAGTCACTGGTTTTAGAAGCTGGGTTCAGTGGTTTTGGATCCTGGTGCTCAGGCTGAGCATGAGCAGGAGGAGGCACAGCACTGTCCCCTCTGCACAGCCTTTACCCCAAGACTTATTTTCTGTGTGAAAGCCCCCAGCAGAGAAGCCCTTTTTCCTAGCTACATTCTCCTTTCTGGGGGCTGATAGTATGGTTCTTTCCTTGGGGGGGTTGATGCTGTTTCAGGACATGCAGTGGCACAGCTCAAATTCTCTCTCTTCACACTCATTTTCTATTTCTAGCAGTGAAGATTTTCTTCTCTGTCCAACAAAAGCTCTGGCTGTGGGTGCTGGGTCACTGTCTCTTCTTGACCAAGCCCACAAATTTCTGCAGGCATGGCCAGAGCTTTGTAAAGGATAAGGCTGAGTGAAGGTGATGTGCTGCTCCAGCTTGTGCAGAAGCAGAGAACCGTGTGTTTTCTCCAGTCTCTTGCCACTAGATGGTACTCCAGGCAAAACCAGGGGCTGCCAGGCTGAACAAAGACTTGCTGGAGAGAACACATTTGTGCCCGTTATGCTTGGGTCTTCTTTTTTCCTGAACAGAATCAGAGGAAGTGCTCCTGTCTGAGGGCAAAATCTGCTTTTTAAAGCTTTCTGTTTTGCAGGTATGGGGGAATTCACAGTCTAGCTTTCAAAATTTGCCTTGCTTCTCACAGACCTTTGATCCCAGTCGTGCCAAACGTCCTCTTTTTATTTCCTTCCACTATTTATCTCTGTGGTGAAAAATGCAGAGTGGCTGTGGGGGGCAGATCTGGGATGTGCTCAGCCACATGTGGGCTTAGAATGAAGTCCTTGGGTGAGGATGTAATGTCCTTGTCCCCTCCTTCAGGAGGTCCCTGCCTGTTTAGGACAGGACATCTCTGCTGAGCTGCAGTGCTGGCTGCCCCACTGCTGTATTCCCCTGTTAGAGGCTATTACCAATAGTTCAGGCAGCAACTAAGGAAGTTTTCTGAGGCTGGGGGACTGCAGAACCTCAGGAAAAGGGGAGGCTCTTGAACTCCTTTGAAATGTGTGTTTTGTGGCTGTTGCAGGGCTCTGAGTGGAACGCCTCCAACCTGGAGGAGCTGCAGGGTTCTGGGTGAGTACTGCACCTTTCAAGCACCAGCCTTGGGCTCTGAAACCTCCACTTGTTTGCTTTTCACTTACATTCAGCTCTCCTGAGAGTACACATGACATTTGTAGACTGTAGGGATGAGTTAGGGCCCGTTGCCAGTGATGTGGGCAACTTAATGTGGGGACCTTGGTGGAGAAACCTTTCCTACCTCATTTCAGTCAGGTGTAGGGTGATAATAACAAAACTCCTCCTCAGTGAAGCACACCAAGACCTCTGAGCTCCACCCAGGACGTGGCAGCAGCAGAGCATGAAGGGGCCACACAAGTGGTTGTGTCAGGTGTGGATTCTTCAGGCTGCAGAAGGGCAAATACAACAGCAAGAAGCTTAGGGGGGAAAGAACTCTGTGTACATGGTGCAGAACTTCCTGTGGATGAGCCATCTCCACCTCTCCTGCCTGGACAGGCAGCTGCAGGGCTGTCTTTCACCACGCTCTCATCACTTCTTGGCTTTCATGCTTTTTGGATGAGTGAGATTTTTGTGCATCAATATTTGCTGCTCGCCCAAGGCATCCACCAACCTCCCCGTGAGGACCTGAAAACTGTTGCTCAACAGCATGACTACAAATGTTTAGTTTGGAGTCCTTAGGAGCAGATGTCTGAACATCTTTTGAAGAAGTAAATTGACCAGCACATTAATTCTTCTGATCTACAGGGAAGGCAGCTTGACTTGCAGTGTCTAAAAGTCAAAACTGGGCAAATTCTCAAACAAATATCCCGTGTCCTTGATTTGTCTGAATGATAGGAGGTAATAAATGGAGATGAGCCTCTGCTCTCCATGGGTACATCATAATCCCTGCTGTAACATTTGGCAGGGATCAAGAGATACCATGTGCCTCTCATTTTTTGTCAGAAAGAAGGGAAAAGGATGGCTTTGCAGCTAACCCCTGCAGCTGAAAATGGTGATTCTTCTCTCAGCCTCCCAGAAGCTGCACGTGGCACACAGCAAGCAGCTTCTGCTGAGGTGACCAACCCTCAGCAGACAGGGCAGAATCAACTTCTACCTCCCATGCCCAAGGTCTTTAGATACTTGGAATGGGATGTGCTGGTGCTGAGAGGTGGAAGAGTGGACATCACATGTGTGACCTGTGTCACTGGGCGTCCCAGGGCTTCAGGATTAGGGCTGTGGGCAAAACTTTGTGTCCAGATTTCATGGAACTGACCCACCCTGTGAAGCCTTTCAGGAGCAGGGGCAGTTCAGCTTGGTTTCTTTGTTCTTCCCCAGCATTGACTACATTCTGAACGTGACCAGGGAGATTGATAATTTCTTCCCAGGGCTCTTTGCCTACCACAACATCCGGGTGTACGACGAGGAGACCACGGACCTGCTGGCTCACTGGAATGAGGCCTACCACTTCATAAACAAGGCCAAGTGAGTGCCCTGGGGGACACAACTTGGTGTGAGAGCACACTGGGGCCTGGCACCATGCCCTGAGGGCTCCATCTGGCATGGAGCTGGGCCCCTGGCAGCGGGGCTAGCGAGTGCTGCTGTTGTCAGGAGTTTTCCTGGAATTTCCCTGTACCTTGGATCTTCCTGTACTGGCATTAACCTGCTCCTACCCTATGATATTTTTTATTATTATTATTATTGCTTTGTTTGGCTTCCAAGAGGAAATGAGGCCATCTCCTCAAGGAGTTCTGGACATACCCCAGCACACATCCGTGTTGGGCTGGCCCCAGCTGGCTCTGAGGGTGAGAGATGGTGACAGAACCCATCAAACCCTGCTGGGCTCTTACACTTGGGTTCTTCCTGCTTGTGTCTGTGTCCTGAGACTTGGGTGGGCAGGAGGCTTTCTGGTGGGCTCTGACATGGTGGTGTGGTTGAGGCTGCCCTCCTCTAACTTCTTGTGAGGCCCTGGCCCCGGCTGCCCAGGGAGCTGGGGGAGGCCCCCTCCCTGGAGGGGGTCCAAAAAC